ATCAGTTGCACAGGCATTAATTGCATCGCCTGCAGTGGAGTGACAAGTTGAAATTTGAGCTATTTGATTAACTTGGGATATTAGCATTAGGTTTAGGAAATGTACCATTTGTTATGCCGATTGAACATTAAACGCTGCCTTGCATTCCAGTTTCAGGAAAGTGTTTGTATATGTGTGAGTTTAGGAGCAAGCTTTCATGCATTGGTACTTTCGTTTGAGTCTTTTGGTCTTTTCTACATTCAAAGTTGATGTGGTGCAAATAGTGGAAGTTGGAGGTGACATGGAATTCTCACAGAAGGCAACCTAAAGTTTCCCATGAAGCAGTTAGAAGCCTGATATGAATGAAAAAAAGTACTAGACTAAGACAAATGGCAAGTTCAATTAAACAGTGGACTATAATAAGAATAACAAAGCTAATAGTGGCCTAAATATAAGTTTCACCTGACACTGCTATATAGTTTACATTTTGGGTTTGGGAGTGACAATGATTTGGCTTGCTGGATCTGTCACAGTACCATCTTGTATATATCAAGTTTTCTCATACACAAACTCTTACCTTTTCTACTAGAAATCATTAGTAATAACTACTCCCTCTATCCCATTGATAATCTCATACTTTCCTTCGTGGTTAGTCCTCAAAATTTGTGCCACTTTCCAAATAATGCACAAAGTTTCCGTTTGCAGGCCCACCAACTTTGTTTTTGACTGTCGCTAGGTAATGATGTGAACTTTCATATTAGTGTGTGAATTCCATGAGCTACAGCTGAGCGTTTATGTACCTTTAGGGGATCGCTGACTGACCTGCAAATATCCTTGGCAACCCAAAATGATTATTCTGTAATTTTGAAATATAAAAACACCGGCAGTTTAGCCCCAAACACATGTTTCAGATTTTTATACGCCCGGGGAATGATGGGAAGAAGAGCTGAAGTTTACAAAAGCTTTTCACCATTGATAGATGGAGTAACAAATGGAATTTAGATATTCATTTGATCAGCTAGCTATTGTTATGCTTTATTTCTTTTCGTGTTGTTTTTTATCATGTTGAACTCAAAATTTCAAAACAAGAACTAATTAAGAAAGAAAATGGGTCCTATTCTGTGACCTCAAGACACAGAGTAAAGGGCAGGCTGCATGTCATTTTTTCCATGAAAAAATAAGTTTTTCGTTGGGAAAGCCTGTGCAAGTTAGGGGATTGGGGGTAATTTAGTTTTTATAGTGGCCCACCCTCTCTTTTTGGTGTATTATCCTAAGGGCACAATTAGAAAAATGGAAAGAAATTAAAGGAGAAGAATACTTGTGGCTGTATATCCTGTAAAATATTGAGATTGAGTTGCTGGTGAAGCATGAAGAGAAGCGTCATTCTGTGGTTCAAATTGTATTTGCAAGAGCCTGAGATTGGTTTTGTGGTTAAGTACAATGATGTTCCTTTGTCCTAATCATAATGTACTTGCAAGAAGGTTCTATCGCTATTATGCATTACCTGTAATGCTTAAAGCATTGAATGGGTAGAGTGTACTTGCAAGTCTATTATGCATTACCTGTAATGCTTAATGTGCAAGAAGGTTCTATGTCTATTATGCTCTAAAATTCTAGCAATGGGGATTTTGGATGTCATCACTTTAGTACTTTCCTTTGGCTTCTTAACAATTGAACCACCTTTGGAGTTGGAAGGCTAATTTTCAATCATGGGTTCCAATTTGGGCTGGCTGTAAAAGTTTCAAGCTGTTGAAATGTCTAAGTTTGTGTGAAGTGCGAAGTTATAGAAATTAATAGAAGATTGACAAATCTGGTTGACCAGTAATGATCATAGCCAATACTTTATTTTAGAAGCTTGGAGGATGATATAATGAAATATGAGGACTGTATGATAACATTCTTGTGTTTTGAGTTCCAATGCCATCCTTCAACTACACCCCCCCCCCCAAACCCCAAAAATTTAAAGAATCAATCTGGTCCAAGTTGTAATTATGCTTCTTGTTGGAAAGTAAATTTGAGTAGTTTGGTTCCATGCTTATTTTTCAAGTTAGTTCTTAGATTTAGTAGTGCTTGGTCATACTTACTATGGCCTCACTTTTTTTGTATGATAACAAGCTTATCCTTGAGTTCCAATGCCAACCTTCAACTCCACCTGCTATAATTTAAAGTTTAAATCTGGGATGGCATAGTGATTGTGCTTGTTATTGAAAAGTTAACTTTAGTAGTTTGCTTGTTGTAGGCGAAGTTGGTTTCTTAGATTCCTGTACAGTTTGGTCATACTTTTCTACTTTTCCTTCAATAGGCTGGCCGCTGGTGAAAAGCACAAGGAAGAGGAGACGAAGGAACTATAGGGATGCTGTAGATAAAGAACTAATTCCACTTGAGAGGGAGTTGTCAGGACTTCGCAAGTGTGGAACAATTGACTCGTTTTGTCTTTTTCTGTATGGTCTCGTTCTCAAGGAAAAAGGCAATGAGGGTCTTGCCTCTGGTTGTTCTTGTAGAGTCCGTAAACAATTACCCTTGGAACTGGAGTGCTTGGTCTGAGCTGCAGTCACTGTGCACTACAGTTGAAATACTGAATGGTCTTCATCTCGTTAACCATTGGATGAAAGACTTCTTTCTTGCCAACGCGTATCAGGAACTTCGTTTGCATAACGAGTCATTGGCAAAATATGAATATATAGAAGGAACTTTCAGTTTCAGCAATTACGTACAGGCTCAAATTGCTAAAGCTCAGTATAGTCTGAGGGAATTTGAACAAGTTGAAGTTATATTTGAGGAACTTCTGAGGAATGACCCGTACAGAGTTGAAGACATGGATATGTATTCCAATGTGCTTTATGCAAAGGAGTGTTTCTCAGCTTTGAGTTACCTTGCACATAGAGTGTTATTGACGGATAAATACAAACCAGAATCTTGTTGTATAATTGGAAACTATTACAGTCTCAAGGGGCAGCATGAGAAGTCAGTTATGTATTTTAGAAGGGCGCTTAAATTAAATAAGAATTATTTATCAGCTTGGACATTAATGGGTCACGAATATGTTGAGATGTAAAACACCCCAGCAGCTGTTGATGCCTATCGGAGGGCTGTAGATATTAATCCGTGTGATTATCGGGCCTGGTATGGTTTGGGCCAGACATATGAGATGATGGGAATGCCCTTTTATGCACTGCATTACTTTAAGAAGTCAGTGTTCTTGCAGCCAAATGATTCTCGGTTGTGGATTGCCATGGCTCAGTGTTACAAATCAGAAGAGCTTCACATGCTTGAGGAGGTAATTAAGTGTTACAAAAGGGCTGTGAATTGTAATGACGGGGAAGCGATTGCACTTCATCAGCTAGCCAAGTTGCACCGAGAACTTGGTCGTTTTGAAGAGGCAGCATTTTACTACAAGAAGGATTTGGAGAGGATGGAAGCTGAAGAAAGGGAAGGGCCAAACATGGTTGAAGCTCTGTCTTTTTTGGCCAGATATTGCAAAGATCAGAAGAGATTTGACGAAGTAGAGGTGTATTGTACCCGTCTTCTAGATTATACTGGCCCGGTAAGTCCTGAACCTGTTTTCCTTAATCTAATCTCAGATTAGTTTCATACTCATTGGTTTTGATTTACTGAGTGACACTTCTTTGACCCTGATGCAGGAAAAGGAAGAAGCAAAAAGTCTTCTTCGAGGGATAAGATCTGCAAAGGATGTTGAGCTCTTCCCGCCTTAAATTCTCTCCTTCATACCTTGCATGCAAATAGAAATCATGAAAGAGTTATGGAAATTGGGTTTCAGATAATTGATTGACGTGAAAAAAAGGTTGAAGAGCTCACGTGAAACAGCATGTATTTAGGTGGCAGAACTTCTATTGCTGTTGTTTACTTGTTAATGTACTGACAGTTTCCTGTCAGAAATTTGTTGCAGTCTTGTCACAATCTATTATTTGTTTATCCTTATTCTTTACAAGAAGTAGTCACTCTTATTGGGACCGTATTATTATTTACTGGAAGATGGTAACTTGTATGTGCTGAAGCATTACACCTTCTGGGAAGTGGGAGTTTTGTACTGGAATAATACTTGCATTCGCCTTCAGTAAAGTGAATGCATTCTCTTTTTCCCATATCCCCCCTTCCCCAACAGAAAAACCATCATCTCATCAAGGTAGCTTTCAAAGAGAATCGGATCGGTGAAACTTTTCTAATGCTTGGTTGTTGCTATGGCATGTCTCATCTCTCGTATGAAGTAAGCTGTGCTTCATGTGAAATCTTCCATGAGATTAATTGAAGTGGAGTGGGTAGCTGAAACCAGTTTGAGGGAGTTGTTTTGTGTAGCATCATTTGGTGCCTCTTGCAAGAGTCTCAGCTAGCTATTGTCCTCAGTTATGGTTTTCGCTATCTAAATAGGTAGTCCCAAACTATCTATTTAATAGCTACTAATTAATGGGTTTAATTAGGTTATCCATTTGAAACTAATAAAATTGCATACCCATATTCATTTGTTGAAGAACAAGTTAAAAAATTGGTAACTATTTATAACTATCAATGGATGGAAAGAATGGTGGAATAGGAGGTAAATAAGTTGCGAAATTGGATAAAAGATCGCACAATTTGATAGAAGTAGGGAAAGGTGAAAAGAATGTAGAGTTCATGGGAGGGAGAACAATTGGAGGAATGTAAGAAGAGTAGGAGAATGTTGAGAGAAAAATGGCACAAAAAGAGAGAGAGCGTGAAGAAGAGGGATAATAATGTTATATTTGGTGTGCTTTTAATATTTCTTTAGGTATTTTTGTGATCTTTATTTATATTTTTTAATATACTTTAACGTTTTAGACAAGATACATAAAATATAATATAACTTAGATACTACAAAAATAGCATTCTTTTGATTTTTTTTAAGCCCTTTTTTCATGCAACTAATATAAATAATTTATTTACTATTATAATTGTATTAGACGTAAATCCGTACATAGCACGGGTTACAACACTAGTATCAAGAAAAAGCCTGGACGGATGATTAATTCAAAACTTGAACTTAGAACTGTGGTGCAAGCTGAGATAATAATAATAGAAGCGTCTGTCTACTGTGATATAGCTGTGGCCCAAAGTATTAGGAGTCTCCTCAGAATTAGGAATGTACTCAAAACTACATAACAAAACGTTTTCCCCTAACGGTCATGCAGTTGAAAGAAACATCCCCAGCATTTTCGGTTCCCCCTCTCTCAATCTGTTATCTTACCAAGTCTTGCAGCAAAATCCGCATATATCAGCAGACTAGTTCAGTTGAGATCAATGTTGCCATTTGGCTTCTGTCTTCCTTCCTTTGAACACCAGCACTAACACTCCTTATCTTATCTAAGTAGAGCAATCCCTTTCCTTTTTTTTTTTTGCCATCTCTTTTGGCTCAGTCCACCTCCAATATTTTTTACATGAATACTCTTTTATTTTTGTCACACATTTCTTTGAGATGACCCTCAAAGGTGGCACCAGCCAAGCCTGCGCTGCCTGCAAGTATCAGAGGAGGAGGTGCACGGCTGACTGTCCACTCGCACCATACTTCCCGGCTGATCAGCCTAAGATGTTCCAGAATGCTCACAAGCTTTTTGGCGTGAGCAACATCTTGAAGGTTCTGAGACAGCTAGACCCCAGCCAGAAGTTGGTTGCCATGAAGTCCATCATCTATCAAGCAAATATACGCGATAAGTATCCTGTCCACGGATGTTTAGGAATCATACAACAATTGTGGTACCAAATTCAACTAGCCGAGGAGGAACTTCAAGCTATTCATGCACAATTGGCTTTCTATCGACAACATCAGCAACAAGAGGTGTCAACTGGATTGAGTGATTCTATATCGCAATTGCAATTGGGAATGGCAACTCCAAGCAATGCCCTGTCGCTTTTTCACCAGGATGCTCCTCAAAATTATGACAATACCGTATCTGCACTGCCCATTGGATCACACCCCACTTACTCCTCCAATAGTGCCAACGCTGCCAATTACAATGCAACTTACATGGATTCCAAGGAAAACAATGCTGTAAACTCTTTATGGGTTCAACAGCCGCCCTACAACAATAGCAGTAGTAATATTAATAGCAATCCAATGGTTATGCAATCTCAGTTGATAAACTCGCAGCCCTTAATAATCCAACAAGATTGTGGCACACAAGATTATGATGAAATGCACCCATTCTTTGATACAATTGATGATAGACAGTCTTATATCGCTTCCAAGGAAGCATATGAGTCGAGGTAAATAAACACAATGAATCGCTATGTCGTTTTATCAATTTTGAGAGCATGATTCAGATTTTACAACAAGAAAGAACATTTCTATTTGGTCTCATCATGAGGTGTCTGAATTTGCAGCTCTGAATCATCATTGAAGGATACAACACAATCTGTTGAGCATGTAGCTGAGAATGAGTTGAAGAGTGCTGCAGCGTGTTTCAGTCTTACCAGCGTTAATTAATACTGCAGAACACCATGGAAAGTGTGGAGTAGCTGGTACCAGAGAGTAGACTTGTGACTACGGTGCCTGTATTCTGCACATGTTATTTCACATATTCACAGAGTACGTTATGTTAAATTTGCATCATTTCTCTTTTACTTCAACTTCTTTCTTTTGAATACTTAGTAGTTGTTTCAGTAGGAAATGATTTGGTCATTCATTCTGTAAACCTGCACTTTCAGAACAGAGGAGTATTTGTGTCCTCCCCTCAACTAGGAATGTGATCAACTCTGTGCAGATTACTTTGCAAATGATGAGCGAAGCCATTATTCATGACGATGTATATTTGAACTCTTGAATGGACAAAACCACCTTTCTGGTTTTAAACCACCACCCCAAATCCAAATGAATCACTTTAGTAGCTCTGATAAAGACTAAAGAGCTTCAATGTTTTAGTTCGTACACTATCTAGGTCTTTTCTGAATTGCAAGTGGATCTCTTTCTTTTCAACTCCTGATGGTCAAAGCAAAATTAAACAGAAAAACAAACAAACGGAAAAAAGTCAACAAAATACAGATTTGAGTTTCAGATAAAGGTATGAACCTTCTCAGAATCCAACGTTTGTGAAAGCTAGGACATGTGATCGCTGCTCTTTGTTAGTTTAGTGTTTCTTCAAGATTAGTTACAGCTAAAAGCTTTCAGTGCCTATCATGAAGCCTTCACATAATAGCTGATATCGGGTAGAATGTCATCAAAATGTACTGTGAAAAATGTTGTCTAGAGCAGCAAAAACCTACCAACTACAGATAATTCTGTAAGATGGCTATAGCTGACAAAGCTACGGAAAGTAACTGGACCAAAAATGTTGAAAATAACCTAAGATTCTAAGACTATTCAATTACAGTGTCAGCTAAGCCTTAATCTGAAGGGTCTTAATCCCCATACAGGATCCAAGAATCTATAACAAATCATTTTGAATTGAAAATAATCCAATTTATTAAATTTTAAGAGGTTTACTGGTTTAGGTTGAATCATTAACCCTCTAAATTATCTTAGGAATAGAAGATTTAACTGAGATAGATTGACGTAGTCAAAGAATACCAGTGACACAAATTAAGAATGGGTAAATGGGGAAGATCATACTACGGTTTAAAGTATTATGGGGAACTTAAAATATAAGAAGGTGATTATTACCTTGGGATTACTTTTGTGTAAGGTAGTTGCTATACATTAAACCTGCATCTCTCGCTTGAGGTCAATCAAATGATGACCCTTACCTCAAAAAACACTCAAAAAGTTCTAGATTTTAACTTGCCCCGCCTACCAAGTCCTTGAAGGAGAGCAGCACACACAAGTAGATTAATAGGAAGGTCATTTCTTCACTGTTCCAATTATATCTTTCCTTTGTTTGTTTCTCCTAGAATTGCATTTTAAATTGCTGAATATATCAGGTTCACCTACTTTTGTGACGTAAAATATTTGAAGGTTTACTGATCTACTTAGCATCCCCCTGTTACACGTACTTTGTTGGCTGTTTGATAACTTAAAAAGTACATAAAAATCCCTGCCAGTGATTAAAAGTGCAGCCAGCGAATGCATTTGATCTGAGTTTGTATTGCAAAAGAAAACCCGAAAAGAAGTTTCTCATTATAGTTCTTAGAAGTTATGAGCTTGGTGGATTAAAACTGTTTCCTTCTTTTACAATGTCATTTAATTTGTTTTCCAGAAGGGGAGGGGATTGGGGTAACAGAAGCGGGAAGAGAGTATGGACATGGTGAGAATCAAACTATTGTTCTGAGATGATGATACAAGACAGTTTTCTGAGTTAGTTACTTTTATGCTTTCTCTTAAGAATCTGAAGATTGACACAAGTAACAGCCAAATGACTTCAAATCAAGAAAACTAGACCATGGTGTAATGCAACTTTTATTACCTCCCCCAGCATAAAATGTCTTTTCTATTCTTTTATCTCTGATGTACTTCGTTTTCTCCAGTCAATTCATAGACCAAAAATAAAACAAAAAAAAAATACTTGGAACAAAATTACTTATCAATATCAGATTCTACAAGTAGCTATTTAACTTTTACTTTTTGTGAAGATCATACATGTTTAGTGCATCTCAATTGATTAATACATTTCATTTTCCTACAAGTATTTCATTATTAAACTTTTCTATTTTGTTATCGATAAAATGTGTATAAACACATAAATATACATTAGATTAGCTTTGTCCCCAGTGAAAACATATCTTTGCTCCCCCTGCCCCTGCTCATACTGTTTTTAGCAAAACATTCAGCTTAGAGCAGTAATGAGGTGTATGGGCAGAAAAGCATCACGAATGGAGTTTGACAGGTGTCGAACCTATGCAATAATAAATACCTACTCAAGAAAATTACAAATTTTGTATATAGCAGTGAGTAGGGTCGAATCCACAGGGACTGGGAATAATTCGTTTCTTCTAGAGTTCAGAGTATGGGGGGTTTTTGATGGGAGGAAAATAAAAATAAAAATAAAACCAACAAAATTCAAAACTAATTCACAAAGCACAATTTACTAAAAATAGCAATTAATAAAAGTTCTACCCAAAGGATTAACTGTTCAGGCACGGTCCAATTAAATGATCATCGATGCACAGATATTTTATCCATTCGTTATTAGATTGGTTATAGTTATCAATAAGCTCTGACAACCAATTCTTCCTTACCTTTTCGACAGTTAAGGTACGACCATTGACTGCTTCCCTAACCAGATAACAACCCTAGGTACGACCGTAGGAATTTAATTACCCAATTGCATTAAAGCTAGAAGAACCCAACCCTAACCAATAAACACGCTAAGAGAGTTTATTTAAGTTAGATCTTACGTTTCCCCAACATGGTGGTCGCCACTAGGTATCAACTAAATGAACAATTACGGATTCAATTTAGTCAATGTGACAGTAGGCTATTAAATTAAATCAAATACCCGGCCGTTGATATTCAATTAATAAAATATCCACGAACAATTAATTCAGGAAACGCACGAATAGCAATAAAATGGAAGAAATAATGAAGATTCGATTAGATCACACAGATATTATGGACCGCACCTTCGCGTCGACCTTTGGGTAGGGTAGAGATTTAGCCGCACCTCATCGTATCAATCATGCGTGGGTTGATTGATTTCATCCACGCAATTGCCAAAGAATTAATTGCTAAGGAATTGGGAAAGATGAATTAATGAAGTAACGAAAGAGAAAATCCCTGAATTTCTTTTCTTGTTCTTGCGTTTGTCTTCGAGCAAAGTCCAGAAAAAGGCTAAAAGCTAATGGAATAATTGTACAGAATGGAAGCCGCAAGTCAAAAACGGCTACAGGGAAGAATCAAAGAAATCCTCTCCTAAGCCTACGTGATTCTGGCTCTTCCTATTTGCTACCAAAGAAAACAAAAGGAAAAAACCCCTGACACTCAAAAGCAAAAGCTAATCTAATACCTCCTGTGACGACCCCACTTCCCCCTAAGGCGAACCAGAGGGTTGGCGGGCCGTCTGCCTAACTCTCGCCAGGACTCACGCAAGCAAGCTAGCAAAAATCCTTCCGAAGTATAACCTAATCTATTACAACATCGTTTCCCTCCAAATAGGCCGGTTTCTAAAATCACATTAACTTCAGAGATAACAGTGCCTAAGATAGCCAACGTCGATTCTTAAAATACCTTCCCGAATACAACCCAAGAAACAAAACATCAATTCAAATACATCCATACAAGCCAAGTAACAAATTTATACCAGCCACATACAAATCCAGGGTTTACACTTTTCCAGCTTCAAGTGGCAACCTAAGGCAAAACTACAATGTTTAACTCGAATTATATTCATGAAAGTAAACAATCTAGTACTACTTCCGAGCACATTTGAGACAGCTACATTGTTTAATTCAAACTACATGCTTAAAGTACAAGTAGATCTCAAGTCTTCCTCAGTTGTCAGAACCTGTAAAAGAAAACCACAACGTGGGATGAGCTACACAGCCCAGTGAGGTTCCAAGACGCTCTAACAGTTCAAATAGGTCAAGTAAGTTGTGCATATCATATGCATGATTCGAGGTTACACAATGGCATGTTACCATGAGGTGATAATCATTACACGGGTAATTGTTACTTTGAAAACACATGTAGAACTAGTACTTTTGGAATGAATGGCCATATAAATATATTTTCATAAATTTTCAGTCAAACAAATAGTGGCTCGTCCGACTAGAAGAACATTACAAGGATTGCTTCATCTCAGAGGTTAATGTTCATGAGGAGTCTTACCCGCGAATGCCAACTAGGAGAGCAATATTATTATTAATAGTAACGCAAGCACGAAAGGATACGGTGTTCTAGTGGAACTTTGTCGGTCATCTGCACCTTATAACTCCCGGATCTCCACGGTTGACTAGCCATCACCTTATCCCTCCAGTGGTAATACTCGAGTATACCGAAACGGTTGTCCAGGGTTCCAACCTACCCGACCGAGCCCAGTCCTGGCTCGAGTAGGTCAGTAACCGAGGCAGGGCCCAAGTTCAGCGTATAGCTTACAACGTGCACAGGTAACCAAGTAATACGACAAAAAGTAAAATTCATCATTTGAATAGGTCGAGGGAGGTAAAGTACACACTCGCCTAACAATGATGGACAACTTCATATAACATGTGATTCATGATAATCAAGTAATCAAGTGGATACTTAGCACGTAAGCACGTAAGCAATACAAGTTGAGTTCATGAGAGCTTGTAATTCACGGATATCGAATAATCATATCGATTAGAAATCATGTGAGCAAATAGTCAGGTAATCAAGTAGTCATATGGGTTGGTAAACGGTTCACGGTTAACGGTTAACGGTTAACGGTTAACGGTTAACGGTTGACGGTTGAGTAATGACGGTTATTTGGCAGGCATTTGCCATATTAATAGGCCATCATTGGCCATTATCCCATTTTTACCATGTGAGAGTCGAGGAGATTCACTCCAACGACGTATGCAACTATAGCATACCAAGTCATGTTATTCGAGCATTTTCAAGCATGGTATGGTAAATATTTAACACATAGTACTTAACACTTAGAAATCATGAAATGAGCATGTCCTAGACTTATTCCATTACATATTCCTATATGGAACACTCACCTAGTCAAACAAGCGCAATAGGTCTCAAACAAGCGTTTTAGGAGTCCGCTCCGAGTTCCTCTTGGAGATCTCCTCGGTTGCCTAAGCAAACAATAATTCAAGTACCACTCAATATCGCTACGAATTCTCTAGTTTTCGATGAAGAATGTACGCTAGTGAAATCTAAGAAATTAACGCGGAGACGAGCCTAAGAATTCGTGTAACTCGAGGTTCACAAGTGGGGTTTTAAAATACAAGACAAATCTGATTTCCATCTCTGGATTCAAATGTAAAACAATCAAATGATATTGACAGAAATGAAGAGTTCGAAACCCCTTAGTTTCCTTTAAGTTAGAAAATTCCAGATTTAACAAGTAATCTTTGAAAAATCATATCTTACTCTCTACAAGCCCAAAATTGAAAACCTTGGTACTATTGGAAACCACTTTGAATGTACTAAAAGTTCATAGAATACACTTTTCCATGATTCTAAATGGAAGATAGTCAAAAATGGGCTCAAAGTTACTGTTTTGGTTCATAAGGCAGATTAAAGTTGGTTTTTGACCAACTTTGGAATTTCGGCAAAATTCACTTGTTTGGAACTAGCTTTTGAAATTTTCAACCCTATTAGTGTTGTAATCCAAGAGTATAACAAAATAAACGGAATGAGAAACGGGGTTTTGAGCACCAAGATACGGTAGCTCAAAGTTACTAAAATTCTCTTGTGAAACATGGGTTTTTCAAACTCGAGTCATGAACTTTGGTAATTTATTTGACCCATGAAACGGCCTCAAAATAACACCATAATTAGCAGTATAATACTACCATATAAGGGTTGTTCCTCTACCAAATTTCATGGAAAAATAACTTCGGAAAGGTGGTCAATCAAACACCTAAAATTTCGCAAATACTAAGACAAAACTGCCTTGAACCTTTTGTTTTTCCATTTCAGGCATTTGGTCAAAGGAAAATTCCTCCAAACCTGGTTCATGGTACATTTGGTAAGTGTTTAGCATCAAAATATTCAGTTAGCAAGTCTTTGCCAAACCTTGCATCAAATCTGTCTAAAAATCAGGGTTTTCAAGGACAGAGCAGGTTTCATATTTTGATCACAGATCACTCAAATTAACTCAGAATTTGGCATGGTTTAAGGCGTTGGAAAATACATTCATAGAGCTATAATTTCACAGAAGAAATCATTTTGAAATTCGGCACACAACTAGCTCGAATTCGAGTCACAAGTTGCAGCCTCAGCATTTTGTTCTTGTAAAGCAGAGAAACAGAACAGCGACTTAAAATAGTTGTTTTGGCTCACATACATGGAACCAGAATGTGCATTTTATATTGTCGGAAAGGTTGGAATGTCTAGTTTCAAATGCCGCTGACGGCACTCGATTTCGACATCGGAGTTCAAAATTATGGCCGAAATACGAAAGCTGGTCAGAGCATTTCGGAAATAGTTCCAGATTTACTAGCTTTGTTAAATCGATTTATTTGACCAACCAAACCTCAATATTTTTCAATGAAACTTTGTACACCATATATTCAACATATCAACATGATATACAAGTCATGAAACCCTCAAAATTTTGCAAAAAGGGGTGCGATTAAAACAGGGCAAATCTGAACATTTTTGAACTATGCATCTTTTGGAGTCTAGACTAGCTAGGTATCATTATCTACCTATTCAAACACTAAACTAGCATTATATCCATCATCAATCCAAGGGTGGGAGTTCATAGAGCCCACCATCAAAATTTCCGACATGAAATAAAACAAATAACATGTAATTTTGGCAGATAATCCCACCACAATAAATCTGTCATCGGCTAAACAGAATTTCCGGCAGCTAATTGGTCATAAATCCAACTTTTTACTCGGCTAATACATGATATTAAGTACTCAAATCCGACAAGCAATTACTTGACTAGCTAATCAGATCATCCAAGTCATTGTGGGAATTCATAGAGCCCACTCACCAAGTTTCCATTAAAACTCAAAAGAGCCACCATCGGCTAAGCTGGAAAAAAAATTGCAGCAGCTATGTTTCAACATTTATGGTCAATTCATCCAACGGATCAAGTACTTTACAACTGAATATCTTACAAGACTTAAGACACCTATATTTCATGCATTAACTTATCTTAACCAATTAACACTTCTAGTTCGGAATTAAATTCAAACAATGGTCATAAACCTCAAAATTTCCAGGTTCAACCTCACGGTAGTTCACAAAATTTTCCAGCGATTGTATGTTTTTATTACAACTTTTTCCTTGGCTAAAACAGAGTATTAAGGTCTCAATTCAACATGTCATCACTTAACTAGTTAATTAACATATCTAGCTCAGGAATTACTTTCGATTAACAACAAAAAATCCTCCAAAATTTCCAGAAATTTCCAGCTTCAAACCTCGGTTGTTGTGGCATGAAAACTGATTGCATTGTGATTTTATTTCGGTTTTAACCCAACTAATTAGCCACATGCAAAGCTCAATTATCTTGTTATTAGCTAGTTAGTTATGGTTATAGGCTCAAAGCAACAAGATTAAACCAAATGAAGCTACATTAATCAAGACAAACTCTCGGCAGAAATTTTCCATCGAAACAGAATTTCCTAAGCTCCTTAATTCATCAATCAGCTACATAGAATTAACATGCAAGATCCTAGACATCTTAATCATCAAGTTTTCACTCGGCTACTTACTCTTGGGTGCTCAGATTGTCGAAATTAAGCAGGTTACAACTGCATTTTTCATCTCAAGCTCACGGCAGAAATCATTTCCTCCAAACAGATTTTCCTTTTCTTCCTCAATTCATCATCCGAACATATAAACCTCACATGGAAGTCCAAAGCTTGCTTATTCAACCTCTGATCAACCATTTTCAGTCCAGAAAATTTACCTCACTGAAGGCTCACTCACACGTCAAAGTGCTGGAGACTTCCCCTCTCTCGGCTCTCGGCTCGCGCACGGCTTCTGGGTTTGGTTGGTCTGAACTGTAATGGTTGTTGCAGCTGCAGTGGTGTCGTGATTGGAAGATGGTTGCAGCTGATGAAGGTTGAAGAGAAAATGAAGAGAACTCACGCACGACTTCTTCCTTTTTTTTTTTCTTCAGCTCACGGACAAAACCAGAAAAATACTTCAGCTCGCGGTTTTCCTCCTTTTCTTTTCTTGTCGATGATACCGAAGCTACGTCCCTCTCACTCTCCTTTCCTTCGATGGTCACGAGGTGGGGTGAAGTGAAGATGATTCGTGGGTGGAGGAGGTTGAGTATATGTGTAGAGGGAAAAGATTGCACTTCGGCAGAAATGGAAATGTGGTTTGAGATGTGAAATAGAAAGAATGGTATACGGTGCCGCGGTTTGTGATATGAGATGATGAGGAAGTATTGTGGTGCCGTGGTTTTGGATGTGAAATGGGGTAATGGTATAAGGTGCTGCGGTTTTAGGAGTAGAGGTTTCGTATATTAAAATCGGTTGCGTATAGAATTGGTGATAGTTGCGGTAATTGAACTTGCGGTCAGAGGTTTTGTTTGGTTTGCATGGAAAGGTAAGAGCATTTTAGTCTTTTCACTTTGCTCCCTAACCTCAACTTAATTTTCCAATTCCGACTTAATTCTAAAAATTATCCCCAAGCGTGATTAAAACGCCTAATTATACCCTAATACACCTAAACTATTTTTATCGAATAATTATCGATTAAACTTGAATATTGAGATTCCTAGTAATTCTTATATTATTTAGCGATTAAATTAATTATTAGAATTTCCAATTATTATTTCTCAAGGAATAGAGTTAGTTTAACTCGAAATTTATCGATTTAGTAATGTAAAGTCAAGTGAAATAATAATCAAATCCAAGGATGCCAATTTGCACATAAAAATTATTTTTACGCACTTATTGTGAAAACAAAGAAAGATAAGGATATATTTATCGAATTTTCACGCCTTAAGTATGTTTAGTATATTAGAATCATATTTATCCAAAACTCATTGGTTTTCATCTTAACGCGGAAATTCTTATTAACATTTAACGTTAGCAACTAGTTGGAATTAATTATTGAAATTCAAGAAATTTTATATAATTAATCTACTCAGGTAGTATAAATTTTAACATAGAGAAGACTAAGTATTTTAGCATTTTATGTTAAGGCGATAAATTATTCTATCTCCAAAGATTTTAATTTAGTCTAACAACACCAAGAAATTTCATAACTTAGGAAAATTATATTATTTCTCACATGAAAAGTGTTTTTACGAACTTATTTAGAAACAGGTGAAAGTAACGCTAGAAATTATTAAAGAATTAAAGAAAATGCAAATGAAATATGCACAGGTTTATATATATATATTTGGGGTCCTCACACCTCCGATCTCCCTGGCCCTTTCTTTTCTTTTCTATTTGAAGCCGCCGCAAGAGAAGTCCACCAAAGGTCAGGAACAAAGCTTTTGTTTAAAGGTTTTAATCCAGTGCTTCGGGTTCATGTGGACCGGGATCCTTAGTTGGCTTTGCTGCAATTAATCCCGCGGGTCCGTCCTTTTGATGTACCTCTTTCGATTCTGGCGTGGGCATACCCTGAGACAAAAAGTCTTCTGGAAATTTATCCTGCGAGAGCACTTTTTACGCCAACCACCTACACTTTACACAAATACCAAATATGAGCAAAATCTAAATTCTTAACACCGTGAGTAGCCAAAATTATGACAAAATAACAGTGCAAAATGTGCCCAATAATTGCTCTATCAAATCTCCCCACACCTAGACAATGCTTGTTCTCAAGCATTTCGGAGCTCAGAAATACAATCAAGAAAGCACCGGTCTTGCAGTAATCTATACTAACACAAGCATCCCGCATTCCTGACAATGCCACCAAGATTAGAACATACTGGATAGGTAGGAGTCCAAAAAGAATATGAACAGTAATACTCGTTACCTCCAAGAAAGTGTACGAATACTAGAAACGCTCAAACCAACATCATAGAATGACATTACCATAAGTTTGCACATTTATCACATTTCCACCACTCGAAAGTGAACTAAATACACAAATCAAAGGGACTTTGATAGGGTTGTAATGGGATTTAGGTAAAAGGCGGGATAAGAAGGTAAAAATAGGGTGTAATGTGCCAAGAGAATGTCCAATATCCACTATATAACCACAATGCTTTATCGGAGCAATTTCTCAAGTAGGGCATTTCTATTTGCTGTTTTCATTGTACAAGTGTCGGAACTCGTTCCTCTTTTTTTTTTTTTTTTTTTTTTTTTTTGGAGAGGACGTCTAGCAAGGCGTGAGCACGCCCTGGAAGACAGAGTCTTCTGCTCACCAGCTTTTTGCCGATTTTTCCCCCCTTTTTTCCCTTCTTTTCTTTCTTTTTTTTCTTTTTTTTTCTTGGCTTTTCTTTCGATCTTAGATGTACAAAAACAGCACCATACAACATCTTTTTGACAACACTTGCCACCACAGATTTATTTACCTTGCACAAGTAATGAATTTCAGACATCGCTTAATGACACAAGGTTAGATAAAAGAGTCTAAAAAGATCATGGATTATCCAATACGGCTAACAAACAAAAAGAGGGATAAAAACTCAAATTGGTTCACTATTGGGAGATAAGATGAGGGCTTGGTTTTTTAGATAGGTAAAGAGGGTTAAATCCTAAATGCCCTTATCATTTCAAATGCATCCAATTCAACAAAAATGTGGTCTCGACATGTATAAACTAGCAAGTTTTAGAATGCCAATACCATGCGTGATACCCACTCAATCAAACAAAAATAAAGCAAACAAGAATAATGTGCTCATATAAGGCTCAAAAGCTCCCAAAAGTTTCAAGAATGGGTCAAGTCCAGCGTATTCAACACTCAACAACACTGCCAAGGGAAAACGAAATGCATAACTAGTATATTTACCCACATACCCACGCACCTTGATTGTGTCATTTATCACAGCAACATGCTCCAGCATTAACAAGAATAGAAATAAACAAAAAGCCGACTAACTACAATGTTTTCTTTTTTTTTTCATTTTTTTCATTTTTTTTTTGAGTAACAAAGCAAAAGGAAATAATGGAAGCCACTCCCCCACACCTAAAACCTACATTGTTCTCAATGTAGAAAAGACAAATGAAGTATTAGGAGAAAAGAAAATAAACTTCCCTGACCACCGGGGAGGGAAAGTGAGACATTAAGGCGGAGGAGGTGAGACGGCTGCGTGCACAAGGTGGTGTGGTGGCGGCGAACGCAAGGTGGAGTGGCGGCGATGGACGCAACACCAACAAGAAGGAGAAGACTGAAGCTAAAACAAAGTGAAAAGGGATTAGACAAGACAGGATAAAAAAAAAATAGAAAAAGTGGGGTTAGGAAAATTTTTTTTTTCTTTTTGACTTTCGTTTTCGGACGGGTTGGAAGGCGTGGGCACGCCTTTGAAGTTATAGCCTTCTGACCGTCAATTCCAAAACTCCATTCCTTAGGTGTGACGACCTAGCATGGGCATGTCTAACTGCCAGCTTCCTGTCACAAAATAACAACCCACTAAATGACACTAACACTTAACAAAAACTTCAAAAATATAAGAAAACTAAAACAAAAGAAGCCTTGGGTTGCCTCCCAAGCAGTGCCTTTTTCTAATGTCTTTGGCTAGACATCGTCATATTTATTCACGGAGGCTAAAATCGTGTAGCTCGTTTCAGTGCTTCATCTTCTATGTAATCCTGATAGCCCTCGTAAATAGAGTAATTCTTGAGTCCACGAGCTACGGTCTTCCATGGATTAGTAGATGGCTGTAAGCCCCGATGCAACCAAATACAACCAAAATACTCAACCAGACAAGTAGTCAAGTAAATGCAATGACAAAGAATATAAGCAATTTTAAAGCACAAAAATAGAGTAACAATAAAGTAAAAGAAATTCAAACCAATCAAATTTCCAAACTTCTTCCAAACTTGGAGTTGAATCCACCAAATAGCTTCTTCAATTGATGGTAGTGCTAACCAACTTGTACAAGTGAAGGCTCACTCCTTCCTCACCCCAAACATACTTTGGTTGAGTAAAGGAATTTTACTACTCTCCAAGTAAACCCTCAACTAGCTACAATTGAAAGCTTACCCACTCAATTAAGAACTACTTTATACAAGTGAGGCAACCTTTATCAAGATTTTACCACTCCAAGTGATAGGTTCACCTTCACCAAGGTTTTACTTCTCTTAGAGAGTAACCTTCACTTGAGCAACATCACAACCCAATTTTCCCAACCCCTTATACAACCAACAAAGAATATTTCTACTCAAAGATCTCACTTGTAAGCTTGTATATAGTGTTGGCAAAAAGTCCGTGTCTTCTCGTGCTTTGGGGTATTTATAAAAGGTGAGAAATGGCTCCAAAAGGCTTTTCAACGGTCAAATATTAAATGCTGTCGAAACTAACCGTTGGCCTGTCGGACGTCCGAACGATGCGTCCGAACCACCTATCGGACGTCCGAACCATTTGTTCTGCGTCCAAACCCTGCGTCCGATAGAAGTCAGAATGTTCAACTTTCATTCTTTTTGTGTCGGACGGCCGAAGCAATGAATGAGCGTCCGATCCAAGCGTCTGAAGAGTATCGTCGTTTGTCGGACGTCCGATCTTCTATCGAGCGTCCGATCCTCTACGTCCGAACCTTCAAAATTCTTAACTACTCTTTGATTCAAATCTTTTCGATTCTCTTTTAGATCAATGACCTGTTCTAACAAATTTCTCACATAAAAACGTTAGTCCAAAGCTACATTTTGGTTTGTTAATCATCAAAACCAAGGACTAATCAACCAAGGTCAACAATCTCCCCTTTTTGATGATGACAAACAAAATGAAGATTTCTTTGATCAAATAAGTTCAAATAAAACTCCCCCTTAGAAAATGCCAACATTCAAAGAAATTTCAATAAATCCTACTCCCCCTTTTGGCATCAATCAAAAAGCAAACTCCCCCTTTATTTTTCAAATCAAGACCATATAGAATGTCAAAACTTTCAAAAAGCCAATTGTAATTTTTTATAGGGTTCTTGGGAGTTAGTACAACATGATTTAGCAATCCACATGGATGTCATACCTTTTCTCATATTTTTCTTTACATAGCAATCATTTTGCATATGTCCAAATTGGCAACAAAAGTGACACATGATAGAAGTATTTTGCACATAAGTGGATTTAATGCAATTAATTTTCTTAGCAAACTTATTTGTGCCTTGAAAAGATTTGCTTTCTTTTGTTTGAGAAAACTTTTGTTTTTCATTTTGGAGAAACTCGTTCAAGTCATTAATTCTTTTCTTTAACAAATTTTGTTCCTCCAACATTTTTTCATAAAACTTTGTTTTCTTTTCCAACTTCCTTTTCAAATTATTTTTGCAATC